ATGCTGTAGCATAGGAGGTACTATGGAAGAAATTGGAACAGGGGCAGGGGCAACAGTATTTCCTTCAGAATGATTCCCTTTGGGATTGTTGATGACCATCTCTTTGACGTTGATAATATTATAGACGTCCCCAGAACGCGGGTGCATTTGGTGGGCTGAAAGTCCTGGAACCAATTCTTGGACAATGTTTGCCGCACACGTTGGTGGGGCTACTGTCTCTGTTACATAATCATGTGTGACTCGGTAGGCATGTTCCCGTGACAGTGGATCTGCCGATGAAATCAAAGGGCTAGGTCTTGTAAGGACTTCAGTAGGACTACTTCCGTCTGAAATAAAGCAACGTTAAAAAGGAGGTTTTAGAAAATGATTAACACCACGTTAAACCATGCTAGTGGGGCTAAGACTCCCATTGCCCCTTCTGCTGCATACTCTAATGAATAGACGGGCACTTTCGATGACGTCAAAGCTTTAAACATAACGAACACAAAGATGATATGACGTATTAATTAATTAAATCGTTCAAATTTCCGTAGAGCACTTAAAAGGATTAAACGTATATCACAATATATGCGCTTCTAAAGGGCTATAGATATTATTACCTGGTTAAGTTCCAGCAACCGTTTCAGGTAGCCTGCCCACTTATTACACATAGATCGAGTGTAGCATTATTATTAACAATAATGTTTTGCCAAAGAATTTCGTTCGTTACTATCGGTAACATAACATCAAATGTCACCTTAAAGTTACGATTGATTGAGGAGATAAGCTATAATTTTGTGGAGGTCCAATTGACATTTGTGTTGTTACAGAGCCCATAACACGACTTTATCTTTCAGCTCCTTACCAACTGTCTCTGTCTCTTTAACCAAATCATGTGTGACTTGGTAGGCATGTTCATATGGCGGTGACTCTATCGATGGAGTCAACGGCCTAGGTATTGTAAGGACTTCAGTAGGACTACTTCTATCTGAAATAAAGCAACGTAAAAAAAGCTTTTACAAAATGATTAAAACCAGACTTCGCCCTGAGTTGTAAAGAACTCTGACTGGTCCGTTATCTTCCGCATGTTGCCCCTCAAATTATATTGAATTCATTTGGTTTAGTGACATGATTGAGATAAAATCATGGAACATGTAGCGACAAATTGTCAATTGAAAGAGTAAATATTATACGGTTTAGAAACACATTGATAATACATTACAGGATATCACAGGATATATATACATATTCATATGTATTCCTCCAGAGCCGCTCCTGATAGGACATAGTCTTACCCTTTGTGTCTGCAGGCTCAGGTGATGTCGAACCTATCGTTTCAAGATGTTGCTTGCTTCTCGTCAGCTCTACGGGGAGCTGAGATGCTGAAAATACAATGTTTAATCAAAATCAAATCAGAATCGAACCAGAATAGCAGAAATATAATGTCATTTTTTCGATTTTGTTCAAATCGTCTCTTTACAATTATGACATTGTTGCATATAACAAGCTCGCCGACATTCTATTTAATGCGTGTTTATTTTTACCCTACATTTTTCACTTGTACCCATGAGGGTTTTGTGGAACGATGCCCTGCATATCAAAATGAAAAATACTAATAATATCTATTTTTAAAATCTTACATTTGGATGTTCCCCGTCCAACATCATGTGGTTCAGCTTTGCCTTTGGACGATGCAGATCCTGTCAGAGATGATTGGGCACTTGGATTCTCATGCGGCACATCTAAATTGTGAATACATTATATCAACATGATTAAAAGCGATTATAATTGTCTTAATTATTATTTATATAGGCCTATAGACATAAACAGGGTGGCCCAATATAAACGAAATACCAACATTTCAATGATGTTGGGTCAAATTCAGTGGTACATGATGCAGTAGTATAATCTTTTCACATGAAAAAAATGATACCAGGATCGACAAAACTGGTACAAAATTTAATTTTGTTTTCCTGAGCATACATCCGGTATCAATAAAAATGCGTTTTAAAATTCGTATAATATCATGTCTTTATTACACAAGTCATTGAAAAGAAAAATTATTGTGGGAAGTAATGTTTGGGTTAAATCGGTTTTGTCACAGCTTGTCCGAAGCTTGGGCAAATAACCATTCCTGCCCCAAAATACGATCTTCTCTGCCAGCACTGCCAGTGGAAGTCTTTAATCTATTCACCTCCCCAACAAGAAATCACGCTCTTGGCATTACCATTGTACCATACTTGGAATGTGATATCCTTCGTGATCTTCTGCTCCAAGATGAAAGTGACGAGAACTCCGGACACTACTTTTTCTCGTTGCTGAAGAGTGAACGGCATCCGATTGGTCGTCATGTCAAAGAAAGCATATTCTGCAAGTTCCTAAAATATTAAAAGAAATAACCACCAATATTAACACCCTACGAAGGTATTGGAACTTTATCATGGTTCATTCTAATTCAAAAGTGATACCATAAATTATGGGCCATGTTTGAATCGAGCTTCCTAAAATAATATTTTTACGGGAACCAATTAGTAACCGCAAAGTAGTTTCATGCATCGGTCCGCGTGACCAGGGCCGTAGCCAGAGTTTGATTTTTTTTTTTTTTTTTTTTTTTTTTTTTTGGGGGGGGGGGGCACATACATGTAATTGATTGACGTCTTGGGGAGGGGTCTAAAAAAGTTCAACCGATCTTGGAAATTTTCGGGGGCACAAGCTCCCCCGTGCCCCACTCTTTCGCTACGTATTTCTTTGTTTTCCCTTCGTTTCTCCTTCAATCTATCCCCTTCTACATGTATTTCGTTATGTATTTCTTTGTTTTTCCTTGAATTTATCCTTTTCTCCTTTGTATTTTCGAGTTGTTTTTCCTTATTTAATGAATCTATCCTCTTCTCTTCTGTCATGTATTTCCTTGTTTTTCCTTCTCCATATTCTCTCCACTCTTCTTATGTATTTCATTGTAATGTTTTATCTTTTCTATCATCTTCCCTTCCCTGTGTGTATATGCATGTACTATATTGCTGCTGGTGATACAAACGAGTATCTCTTTGGTGATACCTACCGTGATGGTACGTGCGTGCTGACCGTTAGACTCTTACACCAGAGCACTTCTATGAATTTTTTTCGCGAAAATGGATAAACAGTTGAGTAAAAAAATATGCGCGACCAGGTATGGCTCCGCTCCGTAACTCGCTGCGATGATGGTTATCGCTTCGAGCCCTCTGTAGATGCGAAGCGGAAACAAGGTATTGGATTACACATTGTTGGCAAATTGACAATGAGATGGCGCTGTGCAATGAAAAGTATGCTAATGCAGAAAGTTCATCAGTTCAGTGTTGCTATAAGAAAACTCTAGCCCGTTTCTTTGGTAATTTGGACAATTTATATTAGGCCCTGCAGAATAAGTAACGAAAGATTGTTAGTCAGAATAATTTCCTTTGGGGGAAACAACAGTAACAATTATATTGAGATTCTTACCTTTTTCGTCACTTCGTCTTCGTTTTCCAGATGTCTGACAAATAGGGGTCCTTGTCTCCAATATATACAGTACTGCTCACCAGGGAAAGCTACCTTGTAGTCTCGTATGGTATCCTGCAAAAGGTTGAACAGATTGAATCCATATTTGGCAGAATGATATTGACAACAATAATAACAATTGCAATAATTTTGTTCTTCCAGAGGGCACTGCAATATACTCCAACATTTGCAGGTTCTCGGATACACCTGGGTGGCAAATATGGATAAATGTCTTGTCAATGAACGTTAACGTTAGCGCCGGGCTGGCATTCGAACCCTCAACCCTTGGATTCGGAGTCAAGTGAATGAACGAATATACCACGACACCTCCACAAAAATGGGTGATGAATTTTGTATGAGTCTCGAACTGATTAATTACTTCAATATGTAAAACGTTTATTTGGTTTGAATTATTATATCTGTGATTTTTCAATATTTGTTGTTTTTGTGATTTGACTTAGACGAAATTGGAAGCAAAATGATGAAATCGATAAAGTCCGAAAATGAACGACCAAGAACGACATAGACTATGATATGTGCAAAATTAGGAAGTTCTGAGACGAAATTGAATGAAGAAAAAAAGAAGATAAATACCCATAACAGGCGCCAAAAATATACCGAACTGTTAATTCATGATAAATCTACCTCTTTCATGCCGCAGAAGTCGTCTTTAATATTGAGCAAGATGTAGTTCATGACGTCTCTGGATGTTGACAGGGGAACGTATGGCGTACAGATGAGCCGTTTACCGATGAAGTATCTCCTGATTAAGGAGATAATCCACCATTCCGAGAAATGGTCCAAGTACAGAGTCAGGTGATTATTTGCGACCACACACCGAGCAGCTTTGTCAGAAGCAGGAACTATCCTTGAAAATTCATCAGACTCTGTCAAAAAAAAAAAAAAAAAAAATAAGGGACCGTGTTAATTTTGTTACGCAGTGAACTTTCATACTCTTGGAATTTCTTTCACAAAGAAAGAAAGCAAGTATTTTTCTGCAAGTTTTGCGGGTTCACTGGGGAGCCTTGTTAGAGGGTCATTGTTTACTAACGATCAATGACGTAAAAACATGTAAATTGCTTTTTGGTGATTGGCTATTAAAAATGTTTTATGCATTAAATCATTCTCATAATTCCCCTCGATCTTTCCACAAGAATCTTGAAAATGGCGGCTGTAGGAATTGTGCGACTTTTAAGTCATTCAAACACAAAGACTGAAACATTTTTATTTTAAGCGAATTTCTTTTATAATAGAAGATTATCAAGTAAAACTCAGTATTAAAATTAGAACTTTCTGAGAGGAACATCAACATTGAAGTGAGGTCATTATGATACCAAGAATAGTATAGGAAGGATTAATTTTGTGTGAAGATCTCTGTCATAATTGCTGTGTGTTTGTCGTGGCAGTCAGGGGGCTCTTTACACTGCCACAACATATTTTCCCTTTCCCTTCCGTTTTTCTTTTGTTTGACCAAAAACCATTAAATGATTGAATACACTTAAATTTAATCAGTCAACGCCTATTTATTTGAATACAATGAGAAATGTACACTAGATCATTTTATCGCGATACCTCTCACACTTTGAAAGTTCAGGTCAAAGTTTGATTACCGACAATAATCAGTGGTAGATATGGACCTGTTACAGAGACTGCCGCGTGAACATGAATTCTGTGATCTGCAGTCCGGTGACGTATCCACAAGACTACCACATCTCAACAATTTTTTTTATACAAAGAAGAAGGCAACTTTTAGCATACGCTTGTCTTATGTATATCGATACGCCTTCAATTCAATATAAATCTAAGAGCGAATCAAAGAAGATTAGACAAAGAGAGAGAAATAAAAGAAACGGAAGGAATTTATATCGAAATATGGGATCTTTGGTAATAGGAATATCTCACCAGTTCTTCGGGTGTATAGCACAATTTCTGCCTTGTCTGGGTTGGTGAACATAGCGCTATGCGAGACCGTGACTTCCACCGGAGTTTTAAACTGAAGACCAGGAGGGGAAAGCTTAAGCCCAACTGAGATGATAACTTCGTCTTTTTCCAGGTTTAAGTCATGTGGAACGGTTGTCAATGCTTCTGCTGTGATATATTTGGCTCTGTCCTCATCTTCTGGTGAAAGTGAAACCTTGATGCTGTACTCGTCGAGACTTATAATCATTGTCTCTTCTCTGATGCTCTTCCTCGAGGAGCGAGAGATGTCTTGTGGACTGGTAAGATATGGATCGTATGTTCGGGAGTATGGGGGCATATAGCTAGGTAAAGCCCCACTACCAAAAATACTGCGAAGGTAGTCATAGTGGTCCTCTTCATTAGCAAGTTTTCCCGGGTCAGCACCTTTCCTAACAAGGTATTTGACAATAGCAAGATGACCCTTGAGTGAAGCTATGTGAAGAGCAGTTATCCCATATTTATCACCAATTTCGATACCTGCTCCTTTGTTAACGATATACTGGACGACTTCGAGATGGCCTTTTTGAGAAGCACAAAACAAGGGTGTCCTGTCGTTTTTGTCACATTTGTCAAGCTGTGCCCCTTTACTAACAAGGTATTTGACAATACCAAGATGACCCTTGAATGATGCTCTATGAAGAGCTGTTATCCCATCTTTATCACCATTTGTAATGTCTGCTCCTTTGCTCACGATATACTTGACGACTTTAAAATGGCCTTTTTGAGAAGCACAAGACAAGGGTGTCCTGCCTTTTTTGTCACATTTGTCAAGCTGTGCCCCTTTACAAACAAGGTATTTGACGATATCAAGATGACCCTTGAATGAAGCCAAACTAAGTGCGGTCTTACCATCGTCGGTACTCCTATCCAGCTCTGCTCCTTGACTGATTAGATATTTCACTTCATCTATATTTCCAGTTTGTGATGCATCATGTAGTGCTGTACATCCACCTTTACCACACGTGTTAATATTGGCTCCTTCTGTCAAAAGGTACTCTGCTATGTCAAGATGGCCACTGTATAAAGCAAGGTGTAGAGGGGTCCAGTAATCATTAGCAATTCTCCCTAGGTCTGCCCCTTTATTAACAAGGTATTTGACAATGTCAACATGACCTTCGACTGATGCTATGTGAAGAGCTGTAAACCCATCTTTGTCACCAACATCAAGATCTGCTCCTTCGTTCGCTAACAGTTCTACCACATGAAGATGGCCTTTCATTGAGCATAAGTGAACCGATGTCTGTAGGTTAGCATCGACTACATTCACTTTTGCTCCATGATGGGTAAGGCATTTAACCGTTTGCAAATGTCCGTTTTCCGAAGCAATGTGAAGGAGTGTCTGGCCAGACTTATCCGAGCAGTTTACATCAACTCCTCCCGAATCCTCTGACTTGTCCTCCGAGTCGATTAATGATTGTATCTTCAGGAAGTCTCCTTTTGCTGCTGCTGAAAACAGCGCCATGTTTAACGCAATTCACACCCACAACGTTTTTCTCTTGATGATAATATATCACCGTGCTCTCAAAACATCATGTTTCTTATTGTAATGTAACATTAAACTACTGTGTAAATTAGCCTGTACCCTGTAGTACCGATGATATTTGGTCTTTTCTGAAGGAACACTCAAGCGTGATTATATGAAAGCATTACATAAATTGAACTTTGCATTCAGATCCGTATTCAGCTGTAGAAGTCTGCCTACATTACTATGCTGCGTATTGCAACAACACAGTCCTATTGCCTTGCAATTTCTCTGTATTTCTTTTGGCCTGAACTATACCTGGTTTCAGATTAATTTTGCGCGAAAGAAAAAGAACATGGCGGATCAATATTTCATTACGCCTCATTCATAACCAGTGCTAGGTTGACGTGCCCCCCCCCCCTTCCCCACGCACATAAACACACACACAAACAAACACATCGAATACTAAGAAATATGAGAGAAAACAGGAAAAAGAGAGAAAGATGAAAAGGACAGAGGAAAATAAATGAATACAATCTCAACCATCGCTTTTCTTAAACACTCTACATGTGTAATTCTGTAACCTGCTGATGTAGAGTACTCGCTTCATTGATCTAGAAGTGGCAGAATATAAACCAAATTTGTCAGTATATCTCCATCAATAATAAGCATTATGAGATGCTAACAAAGTGCTGGTCATTCGTCTTTCTCCATGTACATATATTATGCACTTTGCTCAAAATGTATTACTTTCATAATTCTCATTTTGAATACATTCTCAGAATTTTGTTTACTAAAAAAAAATGGACTATCATCCTATATCTTGAGAATGAGTTCTAAAAATAAAAAAGACAAATTTTGATTCATGTGTGGTTCAACTGACAGAAGATGCCAGAGAAACAACAGACCGGACACATTATAACACACTATTGCCCCGAATCGCTGAGAATCGGTCGATTTGAAGTCGGTTTTCGAGATATAATTAATACCCCAGTCACACTGGCAAACCGACCTTGCATTGAATCCAAAGAGTCCAAACTGACTTATTGTTGGCCTCTGTGGATAATGTTATCGGTTGTCTGGTCTGGTCTGGGTGTGGATGTCTTTGTATTTGAATTGTCCTAGTACGTATTACAAGAATAAAGTTCACTTCTATTTTTCTTCGAGGATCTTTTTCGGTGGACTGCAACTACATACATATCACCTTTATTTATGTATACCATTAAGAAAATAATATTATGTTTCATGATTTTTGTGTTACTGTCTTCCAAAATGTTCAGAATATATCATTGTTATAGTGATGGACTTTGACAAACTATCCCTTTCTTGTACTTTCCTTTTCTTAAATGAAAAAAAAAGGAATCAGGGAAAAGAACGAAAGATCCCATATATTTTCTCAGTGCAAGGATAAATATGCAGATGTTATGTTGCAAGAAACTTATATTACTTATGATATAGAAAATACTTGGAGTTTAACGTGGGATGGAAGTTGTTATTTAAGTCATAGTACTTTACACAATATGGATGTTCTTGTGTTGATTAATTCACATTTAGATTTGAAGGTTCTTTCTGTAATTTCAGATCAAATCAGGAGATACATTCCAATGAAAGATATTCAACAGGATTTAGAAAGTATGATACATTGCAAATGTTTATTTTCCAGCAAGAGGAAAAGGATTACAGAGGTAATAGTTTTTGCCTGAATTTGAAAATAGGTTTGGATGATACGGGTAGGGGAAATTAGATCATTATAATAGGAGGATATTTTATTATGATGATTAGTCTGGTATTGGTCTCATTTATTTGATTGAGATATAAGTTGAGAAAGGATTGGTCACACATAAACATCAACAATTAAATCGGTCTGTGTAGAATAATTTGTAGACCAGCTCGTAAATATCACATGGTTCAAATCACCTCAAACACCCACAGATATTTTAACTTTTGTACAAAGTAACCTAGGTTTGCCGATGTCAAATTGTATATACAAACTGGACCACTGGATCCGAGAAAGTCGTTGCTGAAGGTTCATTTGTGGGTTAAAATACCCTTAACATACCTCTAATTCAGTATTCTGAAAGTCTGAAGTTTTCAGAATATCACCCCCAATATGTATTGCTTGATGGTATGAAATATATATCTGGTGTAAGTAAATTGCCCCTAGAATGGTCAAAACCTGTGGCGCTGAAGTTTTAAAATCATTGCCAAGGATCGGGTAATTCTCTATAAACAACCAGAAGCTACCTACATGCAACTTAATTCTAAGAGCGTATACTGATTAGCGTTCACTTTGTTGTCAAATACACACACGCATGATACATGTAATAATCTCAGCAATTTATTCTTTTTCTTCCAAAATTATTTGTGTATGAAACCCTTAACTGATGAAGCATTGAGAGCTCTACAGAGTGAGTCAGAAAAAAATGTCCCACTTTTTAAAAGTTGTATTGTTTGAAGTATGAATATTTAATCGTGGATTTTATGATATGTCTTGATAGAGTTATCCTCCCAGTACATTTATGTACCATTTTTATTTGAATCTCTGCATGCATGACTGAACATCAGACATTCTTTACAAGACTGCCAGATCTCACTTGCGCCAAGTAGCTAGGTGAGGAATAAAATAGTGTTTTGAACAAAGACTGCCAGCCAGACAATCACACACACACACACACACACACTCACCCACAAACACACACACACGCACAGGCACACGCACACAAATGATCGTTCCATTCCCGACAAGGCCCACCCGAACTGTTACTTTTTGTCGGGAATTCTTCTTCTCGTACGAAAAGTTGAGTGGCCGCTGTCCTCTTGGTGCGTATTGGTGGATGTTGTACTTCATGATGATGATGATGATGTTGATGATGATAATGATGATGATAGTGACGATTAAGATGATGACAATGATGATGATGATGATGATATGATGATGCTAGTGAATGTGTACTAAAGTGAAATATTGTCAGGGTTATGCCACTTAAACATTCAGCGATCTTGATAAAAAATCATTGGTTAATCAGAAAAGGGGAAATTATGAAACATTTGTCACGGTGTGTGATGTGTGTGCGTGTGCGTGTGTTTTTGCGCGTGTGTGTGTGTCTGTGTCCAGGTATGTCTGTGTCTGTCTGACTGTCTTTATTCAATGCACTGTTTTATTCCTCACCCAGTAACTTGGCGCAAGTAAGATCTGGCAGTATTGTAAAGATTGTCTGATGTTCAGTCATGCATGCAGAGATTCAAATGAAAATGGTACCTAAATGTACTAGGAGGCATATCATGAAACCCATGATTAAATATTCATACTTCAAACATTACAACTTTTAAAAAGTGGGACATTTTTTCTGACTCACTCTGTATAGGACCGCGTTCCAGTCAATGCCCTTTTTGAATGACTGGTATTCTAACGTCATTGGGTGTGCAAATATGTAATTTCTTTTCAAACTGAGATTCTCACAATATAATCAATTTAATTCGATTCAGTTTATTTCAAACACAAATAAAAACACATATCATATAAAATATATAATATAATATGCTATCCATAATACATTGTATGTATGAGTGCCCTATGGAAGAAGGCACTAAGGAGAAAAAACAGAAAATACTGATATTTTTTGTACATAAAAAACGAAAGAATTGTCCACGAATACAGTCACGAATATTTGAGATTCGCATATAGATTTAGAGATATCATTTTCAAACATTCATAACTGCTTTATTATTTGACCGATTTATTCAAACGTTTGCAATCATGAGTTTCTTATTTTTCTACTTTCACACAAAATTAATGAACTTATATATAACAAAGGAGCGCCTATCATACCTATCTATAACGAATATCATCATGATATACATAACAGTTTAATGAATCCATTGCAATTAAATATATATGTACATAAAGTATACATAAACAGTTTGATAAGTATGAAGAAGAATAAACGTCGAATAAAGGTAACATAAAAGACGAACCCATTTGTAATTAACGTTTGAATGAGAAGGATCTCACGCAAAACGTAATAGTGTTCAGTTGTTATGAGGGATCCCCTTTAATTTGGCAGATTTCTTCCTTCCTTAGTTGTCTTTTTTATAAAGATTTTGTCTCTCTCATATATATATTTTGTTTTTTTAATGACATAAAAAAGGGATACTCGCTTGTGAAAGGCAATAAAATCGCTGGTCTTGCCTTGCTCCTGGCCACAGGAGCTAATTGTTTTAATTATCTTAAACAAAATATGCAATTTAACACCTGTGGTTCCTTCTAGATACTTTCAAATGTTGAATTCATTTCATTTTATGTGATTTGAGTTGATGTTAATTCACTTCTATGTACATGTACATCACTTTTCTGGTTACAATCCTGTCAATGTTAATATTTTTATTGGATTTTCGTATTTGATAGATTTATTTACGAAAAGCAAATAAGTACCATTTATTTAATACAACGATATTTATATGTACAAGAAGAGAAAATATTGGTTGGTAAATTGGGCGGATAACAGCATATGTGCTAGTCGACCCTAACGCCTTATGCACAGCTCAACAATGTATTTTGTACAAGTAACTTTCAAAAAAACAAAACAAAAACAAAGAAATTAATGTACTATTGCAATCAATACTATCAAAATATATAACTTTAACAATGTCTTACAAAATACGAAATATAATTGTTGCACACATACAAGAGGTTTGTACAGACTATTTGCATGGATTTTCGATTCATGATTTGTTCAACAAATGTGTTGTAACATAATATGACATTAATAGGTAATCATGTAACTAATCACAAGAGACAATGGAAATCGACCATATGTCGTGCTATAGTTACTCCACAAATACTCTATTTAAAATATACTCTATACACTATATATCAACATATGAGACAAACTTTTATTATAAACAGATCAAACATGGAAGTAGTTAAGCTGTACGAGTAATTCACTCTCTAAATGAAAAAAGCACGAACTGCTATTTTCTGTGAATACAATATGCTTCTT